GACAATACTTTTAATCTGCAGAACTTACTAACATTTTATTGGTTGTCCCACTAGTATTCTTTTGCTAATCCATGACCCAGGAGTTTATTAGAAGTTGATTAAATTTTGTTATGTTTTCTGAGAAACAGGTTTGGTTTCATTGATTTTTCCTTCATGTGTGTTTGTGTTCCATTTTATTAATTTTTGTTTTTACTTTATTCTCCCATTCACTTATTCCAAGTTACTTTTCTTAGTTAGCTAAGAACTTAACTAACTGGGAACTTAAATAATTGATTTTAATATTTTTTAATTGATTTTTTTTTAAAGGAATGGAGAGAGAGATAGAAACATCCATGTGAGAGAGAAACATCTTTCAGCGGCCTCCTGCACACCTCTTACTGAAGATAAAACCCACAACCTGGGCATGTGCCCCAACCAGGAATCAAACTGGGACCTCTCAGTCCAGGGGACAATGCTTAATCCACTAAGCCACACCGGCCAGGTTAGATAATTCATTTTAAAACTCTCTTCTCTAATGTAAATATTTAGAGCAATATAGTATTTTTTTTTTTTATCTTCACCCGAGGACATTTTTTCCATTTTTTGTTCAGATAGAGTAGGAGGGAGAGAGAGAAAGAGAGAAAGATCAATGTGAAAGGGACACATTGAGTGGCTGCTACCTGCACGACCCAACCAGGGCCGGGGACAAACTGCAACCAAGGTACATGCGCTTAGCGGGAACCAAACCTGGGTCTCTCTGGACCGCAGGCCGATGCTCTAACTGCTGAGCCAAACAGGCCAGGGCTTTTTTTTTTTTTTTAATACTCTTTTAGCTTCACCTTACACATTCTTTGGGATGATTTTTACATCATTTCAAAAATATTATATTTAATAATGTCTTTTGTGATGTCTTCTTTGATTTGTAGATTATTTAGAGTGCCTTGTTTAATTTAAAATTATTCTAATAACAACTATGAAGTATCACCTCACACCTGTCAGAAGGGCTGCCATCAACAAATCATCAAACAACAAGTGTTGGCGAGGGTGTGGAGAAAAGGGGACTCTAGTGCACTGCTGGTGAGAATGCAGACTGGTGTAGCCACTATGGAAAACAATGTGGTGTTACCTCAAAAAATTAAAAATTGAATTTCCATTTGACCCAGTGATCCCACTTCTAGGAATATACCCTAAGAAGCTTGAAACACCAATCAGAACAAATATATGTACACCCATGTTCATAGCAGCACTATTTACAATTGCTAAGATCTGGAAACAGCCCAAGTGTCCATCAGTAGACGAATGAATAAAAAATGGAGTATACACAATGAGTACTATGCAACTGTAAGAAAGAAAAATTTCTTTTTTTTTGAGACGACATGGAGGGCCCTGGAAAGTATTATCCTAAGCAAAATAAGCCAATCAGAGAAAGACTGATCTCACTTATTTGTGGAACATAATGAACAAAACAAACTGATGAACAAAATAGACCCAGAGACATAGAAGTAGGGTACAGGCTGACAAACCTCAGAAGAGGGGGACGGGGGAGGAGGGAGAGATAAACTACAAATCTTATATGCATGTATGTGTAAAAACAGACAGACAACAATGCTGGGGAGGGGAGTGTCAATGGGGGAAAAAGGAGAAACATCTGTAACAAAAAAAAAATTAAAAAAATACAAAATAAAAAAAAATTATTCTGGTATTTTCCATATTATTTTTTGTATTTATTTTCTATTATTTGTGTTTGTGTTTGAGAAAATATAGTCTATGTGACTTTAATCCAGTAAATGTTTGAGCTTAGCTTATAGTCTAGCATGGTGGATGTTCATGTGCACTTGGAAAGAATTTGTCTACTCCTAGTGTGGGTACGTGATCCTATAAATGCCAACTAACACTAGTTGCTTTATACCTCTATTTGTCTTTTATGCCTTTACAGATTCTATATATACATTTTCATTAATTACTAAGAGATGAATGTTAAAATCTCCAACTGTAATTGTGAATTTTTATATTTCCTTTTAGTCTGAGTTTTGCTTTATGTATTGGAAAGCTCTGTTATTAGATGCTGTGCACACATTAGGAATGATTATATACTCTGGATGCATTTGTCATTTTCAAATTTTAAGTGTCCTGCCATATTTCAGATAATATTCTTCATCCTGAAATCTGCTTTGTTATTAATATAGCTATTTCACTGTTTGTATGATTTATCTTTTTTCCTCCTTTTACTTTTAACCCATGTCTTTGTATTTAACTTTTTTCTATTTTAGCATATAGTTGCTTCTTGCTTTTAAAAGTGTTGAACAATCTCTGCCTTCTAATGGAGTGTTTAGACAATATACATGTAATAAAATTATCAGTATACTTTGTTTATATTTTACCATCTGGCTATTTGCTTTCTATTTGTATTATTTTTCTGTTGTCTTTTTTTGCCTTCTTAATGAGTAATTTAGTAGCTTTAGTATTCCAACTTACCTTTTTATTTGGTTTGTGTGTGTGTTCTAGGGTTTACAATAATTTTCAACTTATCACAGTATGTCTTTAATTAATATTTACTTCCAGTACAATGTCTCATCTTAACATAGAATGAATACATTCCCCCTATTATCTTTGTGTTATTGTTGTTATATATATTATTGTCACATATTTATAAAATGCATAATACATTTTTATTTAAACAGCCAATTATCTTTTAAAGAAAATTTAAGAATAAGGAGAAAGCTTTATACACATATTTTTTTTAATTCCCATATTTACCATTTTCCATGTAAAAAACCTGAGGATGTTTTTTTTTGGAGGGGGGACATATTCTTTCATGAAAAACTTCCTTTAACATTTATCGTAGTTTGATATTGCTTGCAATAAATTGTCTCAGCTTTTGCTTTTTTAGTAATGGCCTTATTTTACCTGCATTTGTGAAGAATATTTTCACTGGATATAGAGTTGTAGGTTGACACATTTTTCTTTTAGCACATTAAATATGTCACTACACTATGCTCTGTCTAGCATCATTTCTGATCTGTGGTCATTCTAACCTCATTCCTCTGTATATAATGTGGCTTTCTTTTCTGGAAGCTTTTAAGATGTCCTCTTGATCACTGGCTTTCAGCAACTTGGTTATGATATGCTGTGGTGTGGTTTCTTTTTGTTTATTCTGTTTGGAGTTTGCTGTGCTCCTCAAATCTATGGGTTTATAGAGTGCATCAAAATTAGAAAACTTTAGCTATATTTTTTATTTTTAGAAATTTATTTTTTTCAGATTTGCCATTTTTTTGTTGTTGTTCAGATAGAGTAGGAGGGAGAGAGAGGAAGAGAGAGAGAGAGAAACATCGACGTGAAGGGACACATGGAGTGGCTGCCACCCGCACGACCCAGCCAGGGCCGGGGACAAACTGCAACTGAGATACATGCCCTTAGCGGGAACCAAACCCGGGTCTCTCTGGACTGCAGGCCAACACTCTAACCGTTGAGCCACATTTGCCATTTTTTAAAGTTTCTTTCTATTTGGCTTACTACCTATATAGTTCATGAGGTTTAATTTTTCTGTTTTTTTTACCTGCTGAATCTCATTATAATTTTTTTCTTTATAATTCTCTTCTTCCTCCTCCTCCTCTTCTTCCTCCTCGTTTTCCTCTTTTTTATTGACATTTTTTTCCAAGAGAGCACTTGATATTCTAATCTATAGAATAATTCTACTGGGCAAATTGGAATTTGCCTTTGTTAAGACCTTGTGAGTATTACCAATTCCAGAACAGATATTAGGCTTATTTTCTGCTTGTAATTTCTTTCCTAGGCATAGACTGTGAATTCTAACTCCATATCTCCTACTGCATAGACTTGGGTTTCCAATTTTGTGTGGACGAATCTTTTAACACATATTGTTCAAAGCAGTTAGTTGGCTCCCATGTCAGATCCTCCAGCCTCAGAGCCTTATTCAGGACCTGTGGTCACTTTGTTGTGCTGAAGTGCCCCGACCCCTAAACACTGCTTTCCTAGGCATTTATCGCGCAGCCAGATCTGAGGTCCCTGTGGGCCACTTTCCCTTTATTTTCATACTTAGCTATGGCTTTGAGTTTCTCTTTTTTTTTCTTTTGAAAGCTGTAGGTTTTCCTTTTTTACTTTCAAGCTCGTGTGTGTGTAATCTAATACTTCATAATGTTTGTAATGGAGGGAGTTTCTTTCATAAGCTATATTAACTAAAATTCTTCCATGTCTTCATTATTAAATATGAATGGAAAATTAAGAATTACTAAATATTTGAATAAAATATGACATGAGATTGATGCTAACATAAACAAATAGAAAAGTTTTCAAAGGAAATAGAGATATTAAATAATAAAGAAAACACACACAAAAAGATCATTGATATACGCAGAGAGAGTAAGTTGATACTGCATTCAGAGCACAATAGGATGCTATGGAAAAGGAAAAATGAGATCGTAATGATTAAAAAATCTGCCAAAGCAAAACAAACTTCAGTAGAAAAACTGAGTTGACAGATTTAAAGAAAAAAATTCCAGGATACCTTTTTCTATAAAGTAGAATGGACATATGTAGAGACAAAAATATGACACAGAAGAAAATGACACAAGACTTGTGCAAGAGACCTAACAGTCAAAGAATAGAAGTTATAGAAGGAAAAGATATAGAAAGTGAATGAAATAAATCAAAAAAATAATGTGACACAGTTTTGAAGAGCTAAAGGATATGACAAATGAGAAATGGAAAAAAATCACTGTTAAATTTCAGAACATTAAAGAACTAAACACTTGCAGAGTCTAAATACATAAATAATTCAGATAAGTGTGACACCTCTGTAGGACTAACCTGCTATCATTATAGTGAATGGTAGATTATGGTAGAAAAATACTTTCAAAGTTCTGATGAAAATTATTTTCAACTTGGAATTCTATACTCTACCAAAATATGAAACAAATGTGAGATCAGAGTAAAGATATTTTAAAACATGAAAGAGATTGAAATCTGTTCCCCACAATGACCCATTCTTTTTCTTTTTCTAGGTCATCAATGAAAAACAGTTTTTTCTTAGACACACTCCAGCTAAGCTAAAGAAAATGCCATTCCTGCGCCTCCCTTGCAGCTATGGACGGCTATACGACCAAGTTCTGTTCAATGATTTAGAGTGGATGTGTGGTGAATGGGCCTCAAGGAAATATCTATAAAAAAGAGATTGTTTCCTTCTTACTGTATCTGCTAATTTGTAAGCATGGTAGCTGGAGCTTTAGCATTCATTTTGACTTTCTTGGCTTCCTTGAGAATGAAAGCAATGGGTGAAAGACAATGAAAACGAAAGATGGAAACTCTGTTTCTGATAACAATATGAGCCTACCAAACCCACTCTGTACTGCTAAATTTCTCCTTGTAACAGAGAAATAAAAATGTGTCTTGCTTAAGTTACTTGTATTGTTATGTTTTTAATTCTCCTCCTGGTTTTATTTTATTTTATTTTAGTTACAGATGTTTCTCCTTTTTTCCCCATTGATACCCTCCTCCCCATCCCCAGCTTTGTTGTCCATGTCCATTGATTATGCATACATACATATAAGTTCTGTGGTTTATCTCTTCCCTCCCTCCCCCATCCCCTCTTCCAAGGGTTGTCAGCCTTACCCTACTTCTACATTTCTGGGTCTACCCTGTTCCTCAAACTGTTATGTTCATTATATTCCACAAATAAGTGAGATTATGTGATATTTGTATTTCTCTACTTGGCTTGTTTCACTTAGAATAATACTCTCCAGGTCTCTCCATGTTGTCTCATAAGAGATATTTCTTTCTTACAGCTGCATAGTACTCCATTGTGTATATGTACTACAGCATTGTTATCCATTCATCTACTGATGGACACTTGGGCTGTTTCTAGATCTTAGCTATCGTAAATAGTGCTGCTATGAACATGGAGGTATATATATTCTTTCTGATTGGTGTTTCAAGCTTCTTAGGTTATATTCCTAGAAATGGGATCACTGGTCAAATGGCAATTCCATTTTTAATTTTTTGAGGAAACACCATAGTGTTTTCCATAGTGGCTAGACCAGTCTGCATTCTCACCAGCAGTATACTAGAGTCCCCTTTTCTCCACACCCTCGCCAATACTTATTGTTTGATCATTTGACAGCAGCCATTCTGACAGGTGTGAGGTGATACCTCATTGTTGTTTTAATTTGCATCTCTCTGATGGTTAGTGATGTTGAGCATGTCTTCATATGTCTCTTGGCCATTTGTATGTCCTGTTTGGAGGCGTGTCTATTTAGCTCCTTTGCCAAATTTTTAATTGGATTCTTTGTCTTCCTTTTGTTGAATTGCATGAGCACTCTATATATTTTGGAAATTTACCCCTTATCTGATGTATCATTGGCATTTATGCTGTCCCATACAGTGGGTTCCCTTTCCATTTTGATGGTTGTTTCTTTTGCTGTGCAGAAGTTTTTTAGTTTGATGTAGTCCCATGTATTAATTTTTTTCTTTGTTTCTGTTGCCTTAGGTGATGTGTCAGTGAAAATTCTGTTGCGTATGATGTCCGAAATTTTGTTGCCTACATTTTTTTCTAGAATTTCTATGGATTCATGAGTCACGTTTAAGTCTTTTATCCATTTTGAGTTTATTCTTGTGTATGGTATAAGGTGATGGTCTAGTTTCATCTTTTTGCATGTAGCTGTCCAATTTTCCTAACACCATTTATTAAAGAGGATGTCTTTACTCCATTGTATGCTCTTGCCTCCTTTGTCAAATATTAATTGAGTATAATGTCTTGGGTCAATTTTCAAGTTCTCTGTTCTGTTTCATTGGTCCATATGCCTGTTCTTGTGCCAGTACCAGGCTGTTTTGATTACAGTAGCTTTGCAGTATAACTGAGTGGGGTTGAATCTCCAAGGGAGGGGCCACTACTTCTCCCCAGAGCCCTGGGAAGGAGTAAGATGGCCACCATCCTACATGGCCACAACTCAGCAAAAGCTCTGAGTACCCTCCAAATCCCGAGTGTTTCTACACAGTTCCAGTCTAGTCCACCCTCTCTCTGCTGGAGCCCAAGGTGAGTGGCTGTGGCTAATTTAGTGTTCTGTCCCAGCCCTCTGCACTGTGGAGCCGCTTGGGAGTTTAACCCCAAGGGCGCTGCTCACAGCTAAGACGGCTGCTGTTCGTGGGCTCCCAGCCCCCTCCTGTGCCACAGCAGACCTACCAGGATTGAGTCAGTGTCCCTGGTTATATGGTCCTGGCAAGCTGCTTTTCTGTTGCTTTCCCCCCATGATTCTTCTTTATTTTAGTTGTAATTCCAGTTCGGTCCTGGGCAATGGTCTGTGTAGCTTCCATTCACTCTGCCGCCATTTTTCTGATTATTGTCCTATATAGAGCTACACCTAATCCAAATGGCTCAGAAAGCTACTTGAGTATATATTTCAATTAATGGCACACTGACTTTTATTTTTTCATTTAGTTACCCAGTGATTATATTCTGGGTGATAATCTTCAATGGAAGTGTAGTGAAGGGGCTACAAAGAACAGTGGATTTAACTCAAGAGAATTATAAAGGAAAAACCAGGATGATATCCATGCCTAAAGAATATACAAATGTATGTCAAGAATAAAATAAAGGCAACTAGAAACCCCAGGGAAAATATAAATTATTAAAAATTGTATTACTTTGTTCTATAATGAGCTATCTAGTCAGTCACAAGGAGCATTTGGCGGCAGTAGCAGGGAGGAGACCCTATGGATTTGCCCCAGACCTGAGGCCCCTAATAAGTCTATGGGACCCCAACACCCTCCTAAAATTATTTAAACATAATTAAGGCTTGTTAGAGGGGAAGTTGTATTCCAGAAAAGATCACTACTTGTTTGGGCCATAAATTATTATTCAAGCTAAGAAAATAATAAAAAAAAATTTAAGATAGATTGAAATGTTAGTCTCTCTTCATGCATTTACCTGCTATGTGGTGAGGCTTTTGTAGACCCACTCTTATTCTGTTTGGGAAAGTTTTTTTTATTATTATTATTATACATAGATTATCATTTATATTCCACTGCTTCTGACAATTTCTTTGGTAATACCAATTATAGAATCTTGCAAATACCTCAGTAATAGTACCAGTAACCTTCTATTGTAAGTGTTCATCTAATTGCCTTTTCCACTGGACTTTAACTCAATGACTGTGTAAACAGAAGTTTTCAGTTTTATATTTTCATAACTTAGCCCAGCATCAGGCACATTGTAGGTGGTCATGGTTATTAAATGAATTAAAGTGAGGAAACCTAATCTGATTATTATGAGAACATGCTGTATTTTGGCTGTTTTCTCAAGAAGGAAGAAAAGAAAACAGAGAAGATGTGATTAAAGAGGAAAGGAGAATACGGAACACATTTAATAGATGTCCCTTTCCCAAAGCACTTAACAGCAGCAAGCATACCCTCCGAGCATGTCTGATGATATTTCTAAGCCTCTCTTCACAGATCACCTTGCAATCCCAGGTCACAAGGTGGGAGCTGCCAGCAGTCCTGGTATTAAACCACTGCACCAGCTCCCAGCCCTCCTCTACGTGAGGTGCCTTGCTATGGACTAGCCTAGGGTAATGTGCAGCTCACAGCTGCCCTGCCCCTGTCTCCCTGCCAGACAGACTCAGACTTCAAGCAAGTAGTTTCACAAGCCTGCAAGGAATAGATATTTATAAAGACAAGTTATGTCATGGTTATATTCACATAGCATCACCATCAGCTCAGCATCCAGGCAAACCAGAGCCATAGCCCCTTGAACAATTGGCTTGACTGAATGCAGGGCCCTGGGAGGAGAGGCACCTGGGAAGATGAGGGCAGGTGGGGCTGACCAGCTTAACCCAATGGAAGCACACAACCTCTCTTTTTGTCACTCAGGACCTTTGTGGGAGGCATTTGACATACAGTGGAAAGAATGGGCAATTTAAAATTAATGGACCTGGTCTTTGGTTCAGGCTCTGCTACTTACTGGCTTTGTGTCCTTGAGCAAGTCCCTTTCTACCTCCGGGCCTTGTTTCCTCCTTTGGAAAATGTCCACCTCATAGTGTGATTTTAAGGATTATAAAGAAATAATGCATGTGAGCATTCTTTGCAAGATGTAAACGGTGTTTCTCGCTTTCAGACAGGGAGATGCCTCAAGGCTGTTCAGCACGTTGTGTTCAACTGTGTAAAGATGTTTAAGAGAAATTTTACCAAATTAGGAAGACTTGCTATGTAAATATAAAGAGTATAAGAAAAAACCCTGAATGCTTGATAGTCTTCTTTGTTAATCAACTTGTCAAATACTGTTGAGCCTCTTATCATCATAATCAAAAATACTTGAGTGTCTACTATTCACTTATTCAGTAAACATTTATATTCAAGTGAAAGGCAGTAAGATCCCACGAGTGAACTAGTAAGGAAAGAGAAGACAATCCACATTTAGAATTAGAGATTTGTAACAAATAAAGGCTGTGCTAGATACATGTAATGTGAGTACCAGAACCACAGCCTATCACACCTGGATACCTATATAATACCTAGCCCCATTCAATTCTTACCTAATGCGTGAATTCTGTTTACTATACTCTGAAAACTAAGAACTGACTGTGTAGGGGGCATTCTATTCTAATTAGATCTAATTGTTAAAAAAAAGTCTTTATATTCACCATTTGGTCCTCTTATGGCTACATTAGCTTCATCTTCCATGTGCGCACCACTTGGACATTTAACAATGGCCTTCATGCCTCCTCCCAGGCCTGTTTTTGCCAGGAGATGTAACCCTATCTTGGTTCCCATGGTCGCTTCCCCTCGCCATTCTGCACTCTTATGGGCCTACTTCAGTTTTCCTATGTCACACTCCAAGGGGCACATTAAACTTGGCCTTAAAATTCTAGGGGCAATTCCACCAGGGCTGATAGGATGGGATGCTAATCCCTGTGTGTAAAGTTTTGATTGGCATTCACTTGATAATCAGAAAGGTTACTGGAAAACCCTAATTTTCTTTACATTTAGCGTACCACCCTTTAGGTGTAGCTATACTTTCTCATTGTGTATTTGTGAAGTTTGTTTTTTAGAACTAAGTTTACAACTTTACAATTCTACTTATTCAATTTTATTTTTAGATGTTAGCATAAGCTCCTACCTTTAACACAAGTAATTTCCAATATACTACAGTCCCTACTAGTATTATGGGGAGAAGTTTCCAGATAAAGAACTCATTTGGTTTCCCAGCAAGAATCTCCTGTTAAGATTTTGAATAACCCTACCCTCCAGGAACCAAAGCAATGAAAAATAGACATAGGAGTCATATAAAGACCCAACTATTAGCTTTGTTGTTGATAAAATTAAATTTATGTATGTGGAATGGCACCAGCCAAGATGTACATACAGCCAGCCTGTTTGCCAGTTACAGGGTGGAGGT